ATCTCCATGGAAGATTCGCTTCTCCCTTGCGGCTTCGATGTTTTCTGTTCTTTGTTGCCGGTGCCAAAGTTTGTGGTTTTTCGTGTCTCATATGAAAGAGAGATGCGTGTCTTCTGGCACGTTGTACTTCAATTTATGCTCCTCAAACAGCTTGCAGAGTGCCTCCAGGTATCTCTTATGGAGCTCATCAACTTCGTCTCGGCTGGGATTGTGCTTCTTCACCAGCTGAATGGGTTTTCCCACTGGAGGGATCAAATAGGAGAAATAATAGTATAGTATAGTTTAGTTTAATTTAATTTAATTCTGTATTCTATTCTATTCTATTCTATATTATAATAATAAAGCTGGAAGGGACCTTGGAGGTCATCAAGTCCCCTGCTCAGGCAGGAAACCCTATACCATTTCACACAATGGCTGTCCAGTCTCTTCTTAAAAACTTCCAGTGTTGTAGTATTCACCGCTTCTGGAGGCAGGTTGTTCCATTGGTTAATTGTTCTAACTGTCAGGAAGTTTCTTCTTAGTTCTAGGTTGCTTCTCTCCTTGATTAGTTTCCATCCGTTGCTTCTTGTCCTGCCTTCAGGTGTCTTGGAGAATAGCTTGACTCCCTCTTCTTTGTGGCAGCCCCTGAGATATTGGAAGACTGCTATTATGTCCCCCCTCATCCTTCTCTTCGTTAAACTAGACATACCCAATTCCAGCAACCATTACTTATATGTTTTAGCCTCCAGTCCCCTAATCATCTTTGTTGCTCTTCTCTGTACTCTTTCTAGGGTCTCAGCATCTTTTTTACATCGTGGTGACCAAAACTGGATGCAGTATTCCAAGTGTGGCCTTACCAAGGCATTGTAAAGTGGTATTAATACTGTGTTGGCTTTTTTGGCAGCTGCAGCACACTGCTGGCTCATATTTAAGTGATTGTCCACTAGGACTCCAAGATCCCTCTCACAGTTACTACTATTGAGCAAGGTACCCCCTATACTATACCTGTACATTTGGTTTTTCTTGCCTAAATGTAGAACCTTACTTTTTTCACCATTGAATTTCATTTTGTTAGATAACACCCAGTGTTCAAGTCTGTCCAGGTCCTCCTGTATCTTAAGCCTGTCTTCTGGAGTGTTGGCTATTCCTGCCAGCTTGGTGTCATCCGCAAAATTGATGAGTTCCCCATCTATCTGTCCAAATCGTTAATGAAGATGTTGAAGAGCACTGGGCTTAGAACAGAACCCTGGGGCACCCCACTACACACTTCCCTCCATGTAGATGCAGTTCCATTGAGGACCACATGCTGAGTACGGCCGGTCAGCCAGCTACGAATCCATCTGGTGGTGATGCTGTCTAACCCACATTTTTCTATCTTATCGAGTAGTAGGTTGTGATCTACTTTATCAAATGCCTTACTGAAGTCAAAGTAAATTATATCCACAGCATTCCTCTGATCCACTAATTTTGCCACTTGGTCAAAGAATGCAATAAGGTTTGTCTGGCATGATCTGTTTTTGACAAACCCATGTTCGCTTTTAGTAGTGATTTTGTTTGCCTCTAGGTGTTTGCTGATTCGTTGTTTGATTATCTTTTCCAGAATCTTCCCAGGTATTGAGATCAGGCTTATAGGTCTGTAATTTCCTGGATCCAATGTTTTTTCCTTTTTTGAAGATGGGAACTACATCAGCTCTTTTCCAGTTCTCTGGTAGTTCCCCAGTGCTCCACGATCTTTGAAAAATATAGTTCAGTGGTTCTGAGATCACATCTGCCAGTTCCTTGAGAACCCTGGGGTGTAATCCATCTGGTCTTGGTGATTTGAACTCGTCTAGGCTGGACAGGTGCTCACTTAACATTTTCTTGCCTATCTTAACTTGTGTTTCTATACTGTTTTTTATGGCACTATTTTTGATAGTTGGTCTGTTTTTTCCCTTTGTGTAAAGACAGATGCAAAAAATGAGTTGCTTTCAGCTGGAACAGCTAAGTGATCAGCCATGTTGGTGGCCAATCTTTTCTCTGTCAAACCAAAGGAGCTGCCTTGGGTCAAACGGAAGGGCTACCGCCCTTATGCAATCTAATGAGGGTCCTCCTCAGCGGTGGTCACCCCTGCAGGGCGACTTTCCACCCTTTCCAGGGTCTTTCAGTGAAGGGAAACCGGGCGGCGAAGAGAGAGCTCTCTCCGCACGTCCACAGGCGCTGTGATCCGGAACTGGAAGCCTATACTTCCAGGTTTTAAATGACCAAAGTTTCTTTATCTCAGCTCATAACAAAATCTAGTATTCAAAGTACCCATCTTGTCTATTTGAGTGTGTTCTATTTTAATTCCCACTAATAAGTCAAAACCTCCATTTTCTTCAGCCTTATTCTAGCTTTTTTTCTTTGCCAACTCGCCTTCCTTGTTTTACCTGCCTCTCATTTCTGGATGCCACAGAAGAAACACGAACTTACCCACGGTGAAGATTGGCTTCCGGTATGGAATAAACCCAAAGGTGTACTGGAAGATCCCTCTGGCGTGGAAGAGAGGCACGGAGAATCTCATGATCTTCTGCAAACGGTCTTGTGTCCACCTCAGCCAGGATCCTTTGGGGTTTTCGACCTGATCGTACAGCTCATTCTCTCCGAAAGAGAACACGGGGACGAGCGGCGTGCTAGGAACCGAGAGGAACCAGAAGGAGAGATGGAATCAAACAGATTGAGATAACTGAGGAAGGCTGGGTGGCTGCAAATAACGGATTCGTACACTCTTCTCAAGCTTTACACGTCGAAGGGAAACACGGTAATATTTCACGTGATCAGTGGTGGGATTCAAATAGGTGAACAACCGGTTCTCTACATGGATGCCGCTTCCGGAAGTCCGTTCTGGGCCTGGGCAACAAAAAATTAGCAACCAGTTCTGCCGAAGTGGTGTGAAGCAGCTGAATCCCACCACTGCATGTGATGTACATTGTACAAGAAGATCAGGACCCGCCAGAAGCTGTTCCAACTTACCCGTTCTCTATGGCCAGCCGAACGAAGCCCTTGCGGTTCTCTAACAAGAGGGTGTAAGCTCCGGGACGGGCGTCTAGGGCTTCCTGGGCCCCTCCCACAGCTATGATTACGATATTCCCACCTTCCTTCTTCCTCAAGACATAGGAAGCAGATTCCTTGTCAGAGGGAATTAAACCTGGGTGAAGCAAAGCAGGAAAAAGAAGAACATTAAAGCCCCGTACAACACACACACACACACACACACACACACACACACACATTAAATAGCCTTAACAGAGAATAACAGAGCTGGAAGGGACCTTGGAGGTCTTCTAGTCCAGCCCCCCTGCTCAAGCGGGAGACCCTACTATTTCAGACAAATAATAAGAATTATAATTATAAAGTTGGAAGGGACCTTGGAGGTCATCTAGTCCAACCCCCTGCTCAGGCAGGAAACCCTATACCATTTTGAACAAATGACTGTCCAGTCTCTTCTTAAAAACTTCCAGTGTTGGAGCATTCACCACTTCTGGAGGCAGGTTGTTCCACTGGTTAATTGTTCTAACCGTCAGGAAGTTTCTCCTTAGTTCTAGGTTGCTTCTCTCTTTGGTTAGCTTCCACACATTGCTCCTTGTCCTGCCTTCAGGCGCTTTGGAGAACAGGTTGACTCCCTCTTCTTTGGGGCAGCCCCTGAGATATTGGAAGACTGCTATCATGTCCCCCCTCGTCCTTCTCCCAGTCTCTTCTTGAAAACCTCCAGTGTTGGAGCGCCCGCAACTTCTGGAGGGAAGCCACTCAATTTCCTCCTTCTTGTCCATCCAGGTCACCAATACAGAGAGTCCTCAACTTACGACCACAACTGAGCCCCCAGATTTCCATTGCTAATCCAGGCAGTTGTTACGTGATTTGATGACCTTTTTGCCACATTTGTTAAGCGAATCATAAGGAGTCGAGGGCAACCTGTAAATGGCATGAAAACCAATTCACCTTTCCGCCAGAGCAAAATCTCGCAAAATTCACAAAGGATCTCCAGCATTCCCTAAATGGGAAGAAGCTTTCAAGACGCTCGGAGTCCTTGAAGTCCTAGTGGATGATCACTTAAACATGAGCCGACTGCATGCTTATTTATTTTTTGATAAGAAAATTGATCGGGTTTTTAAATCTCACATTTTAAGGCTTGCACTTTTGAGAGTTTGGAAAAAGTATTTTTATAAGGTAAATTTAAAAATTCCAATGTGGGCTATTCCGGAACATGCAATACAAGGAATCATAAGAGGTGTAAAATTAGAAGGAATTGTTTATAAAGAGCTACTTATATTAAGAGGACAGGACTGGCAAATCAAATCATTGGAAGAGTTAAGACAGGATAATGTACTCCAGTCCTGGTTCTTATATTTTCAATTGGTTGAGAGATGGCATATAGATCAAAAACTGGGCCTAATGGTAGATGATGTGAACTTGATAAAACAGATTAAAGATCAAAGCAGAGCCCATATCAGGAGAATATATAGTGTGTTGATAGAACTTGATTCGGAAACAGAACTGGTTAAAGATTGTATGATTAAATGGGCTCAAAATATTCAAGAACCAATAAAGTTAGAAACTTGGGAAATAATTTGGGTAAGAAATGTCAAGTTCACCCAAGCACAGAATCTAAGGGAAAATGTTTATAAAATGTTTTATAGATGGCATTTGGATCCTCAAAAATTGTCTTGCATGTATCCGAATTTGCAACCAAAATGTTGGAGATGTGGTAGTATGGATGCTACTTATTATCATATTTGGTGGACATGTAGGGATGTTAAAGCCTTTTGGATTAAGATTTGGTGGAATATTCAACAGATTTTTAAGAAAAAGATAAAATT